GCAGGGGAGCAATCTAGTTTCTACCAGGTAGATAGGTTAATGGATGGAGACAAAAGTTAGTAACTCACAACAGTGGCCAAACTTAGAGAGACTGACAATTCTGGAAAGAAAAGATGTGTGTCTGGTTTGGGAGACAGCTATAGTGGAGTTTCCAGGGTTCAATTCTTCACATCATACATGCCAGGCAGTGGGTAATTTCAGTAAAAGGGTTTCAGCTAGATCAGTCACATGTGTGATTAGGTATTTCTTCTGAATCTATTACCTTTGGCTTCATTATTGCTGGCTTTGCAAGACTCAAGCCAGATCCTCCAGCCCTCCCAGAGAGTCTTTGAACTATACAAGACCCTTGAATAAACACCTTTCTCCTAAAATAGCTGGAGTAGATCTTGCTATACCCCAAACTCTGACAGATATAGGATTTTTTTCAGTAATTAAATGAAACTTAATTAAAACTTTTCAGCTCTTTTTCTAAGAAAATAAAAGCTGAAGTCTCCAACACAATCATTCACTAACATATCAATGTTAAATTCTTCTAATAGTTAAGCACATTCCGGTTTCAGTTTCTCAGTTGAGTAATGATCCTTCCTCGGAGCTGACTTTCAATTCCCAGGTAAGCTGCCTTCCAAATAGGCATCTTTACAATGTTATGTCTGCAGAGGAAAATAAAATTGCATGATTGAACGTTCTCTTTGGTTTAAGTGGGGCTTCCACGTGAAAGAATCTTTAGGTAGAGGCTCCAATGTGACATTGATAAGCATTGAAATTGTGGGCTCAAGCTAGACTATAGAATCAACACGAAGTTTCAGAGCACTAGGAAGGGTACCTTCTACACCTTGAGTGACACTGATGTTGGCCTGCACTAGGGTGAATTGGAAAGCAATTTTTAAACTAAGTGGTATATTTTAACCAAGTGTTTAAATATCGACTTTAGATATTAAACCTCCCCTTCTTTCTCAGTAAAGTCTTATAATAATCTTTTAGCCTTATTAGTAGTTGTCAAAATCAAGGTTATTGTTCAGTCTTCTTCAATTCACTCTTGAATAAGTCACAACCTTATCCACATCTTTATGTTCCATTCTAAAATTTAAGCATGGGTTTTTCACACTAGAAATCAAACAGTTTTTATATTAATCCAGTACCATTTCCCAAAACAGAACAGGCGAGAAAGTAAAAGAGGTAAATTTGAGGGGTTCTCGAAAACAAAACGAAAACAAGACAAACAAAACTGAGCCTGATCCTGGGTTTGATGAGAAGGATAATGATGGAGGAAAAACATGTTTTTGTTTATGTACCCATTAATTAAATTACATGAAATAATTAAGCTTATTTTTTTCTTGAAGACCATGATATCCTATGCAGTTTATTTTTGAAAGTCTGCTGCTGTAAAAAGTCCAATAGTCCCTGTTTGCAAAAAGACAAAAAATATAAAAGATCTCAGCAAGAATGAACATTGAAACTGATTCCACTAGACAACAGGACAGACATGGCTGAATAATTGATTTTCTGTCATTTGACACTGAGCATTAGCACAGATAGGGAGGTCCCCCAGAAACTCTACTATGTAATGATTTTAGATGGGAAAATTATCTAATATTGCCAGAGTTTCATGAGTTTGGGGTAACAAGAGAAAGCATGGTGTCATTGAAAAAGCAGACGGAGTTTGATGTCAGTGAACTATGGATTTAAATCCTGCTTCAAGGACTTAAAAGCTGTGAAACCTCAGGCAAGTTGCTGAACCTCCCTGAGCCTGTGCTTTCTCATATAAAGCACGATAAATAAAATTGACTGCATAGAGCTGCTTTGAAGTTTAAATTAAGTGATGAAGAGCTCCTATCACAGTGCCCACTTAAAATTAGTATATTTCTACTTGTCTTTCTCCTCTCCCTGCATTGATTTAAAATAAGAGAAGGCATTATTGATTTATTCTTTCCTGAATGAAGAAAGTCATTTCTATTTGGACCACTTTGGGAAAAGCTTAGGTAAAGGACTACCACTGCAGTTTCCACTAGGGTTTGATGGATTTCAGGTGCAAAACCTTTTTGCTTAACACTCATTTATTGCATAACTATATGTTCACTACCTACTATGTGCCACCTTGTTCTAGGCATAAGGGATACAATAGAAAACAAAAAGGCCAGGTTCCTATTCTCCTGAAACATGTTCTGCTGAAAGTCTTCCAGAATTGTCTTAAAAATAATATTGCAGAAAACGTCTTCTTCCATTTGACACACTTGTCTTGGGCTTCACAAAGCTAACCTTCTACTTCAAAGGAAAATAAATCCCATACTCACATGGGATTTAGATAAGATATCAGCAAGTGCAAAAGAGAACACAAGTTTAGAGTTGGCCAAATCTTGGCTCTGTCATTTATTAGAGATATACCCCTAAGTAAACAAATTAACCACTGTTGCTCAGTTTCTATTATAATAATATTTACCTGTAAGGACATATAGCATTATATGAAATAATATATGCAAAATACTTTGAGCAATGCACAGGGGTAGAAACAGAATAAGGGTGCCATTACAGATTCCATTTTAATATGATTGCTAATTTCACTGATCAGAAGAAAATGAGCTATCTTAAGGTTATGGTTTCAAATAATCCATAACCTAGCTTATTTGAGTAAAACAGTACAGAATCATATAAACTCATACATGCCACTTGTTACATAGTATTAATTAATTAATATTTGGTACTAGGGATTGAATGCAGGAGGGCTGAACTCCTGAACAACATCCATGCCCTTTTTTATATTGCATTTAAAGACACGTTCTAACTTTCTTAGGTCCCTGCTAAATTGCTGAGGCTGGCTTTGAATTTGGGACTCTCAGTCTCTGGCGCCAATGGGATTACTGACTGGAGCCGCAGCTCCCGGTATTATATTGTATTTAAACCATGAAAAATACATCATGGAATTTGTGTGTTTTTCCCATTAAGAAAATTTGCTATCTGCCACATCTCCCTGGCTCAACTCCTACAATAAGATTATTCTTTGTGCAGAGTGTCTAGTGCCAAAAATGGCATTCATAAAAACCCTCCTCTGTTGAGAGGGAAAAGATTGGTTGGCTATAACAAAAGCACATTATGCACAGAGGGAAAATTACATTTTAATGACCTAGAAAATGCATAACTAGTAGTTGAAACATGGCACTCACTTAGGCTAATCCATTTTCAATTAATTACATAATTTAGCTCATCATTATTTATGAACAGTACAGAATGTCTACCCACCTGGAAGACTTTTTTCCACCATTATTCAAGCTGAAAGCCTGAAACAAACTTTTAACCTTCATCAAATATCACTAGGTGGGAAAGGTAAAAAGTTGAGCTATCCACCAGTTCAATTAAAAGACTTGAACATATTTACTTCAACCCTTAGGGGTCTTTCTTAAGTCATGGCCTGTGTGTTCTAAACTTATCAGCATCTTTCACATTCACCAAGCCCCACCATCCCCTACCTAATCACATTCTCACTTTTTTCCTCCCCTTTTATTAAGCTATGGTTTCTCCTTCCCTCTGTTCCAAAAACAATGTGAATGCGTGTATCCCCGCTTGATTTGTTGCTGGTGTGTGTTTTTTTTTTTTAATTAGAAAATAGCAGCTCTCAATTTTGACTACATAGTGAAACTGTCTAAGGATCATTTAACTTTTTTTAAACAACTGATGTTGACTTAGGTGCTCTAGTTTATGCTCATGCACTGGGATGTCTATAAGCTTCTGCAAAGAATTCTAACGTGCAGCTCAGGTTGAGGATCACAGTGCTGGAGCGCAGAGGTCTTCATTTCTTTTTCTTTCCATTTTATATTTATGCTGAATATGTTTAGCTGGTTTAAAAGAAACTAATTTGAAGACTATACCTCTGAATTCATTGGTTTGGAGAAGTTTTACACTTCATAGATGCAGTGACTGGTTTTAATTTGATCCATGTGGTTTTCCATAATACTTAGAAAGTTGGCACAGCTACCCACAGCACTAACCTTAGCCCCAGATCGTGCTTTCTAAAAACACACTAATGCAAATGGAGATTTCCATAATCTGGAAAGGGCAGCCTGAATCCTGGAGTGATCATTCACAAGTCCAACCTCATACCTGGCCATCCTGAAGTTGAAGGTAAACAATTTCGTGGACAACTCCATCAGAGGCCAAAGAGCTGGGCATGCATAAAGAATTCAGGTATCAACTAGCCATTCCTCCTCCGCTTTTTGGGGATTTACTCTTTTCTGTTTTTATTCATCATATGGTCATTATTCTGAATTTCTCTGTTTAATTTTTCTGGTATTATGAATTTGGGGAAGATTATTTTAGGGCTCAAATAGGAGTAGAATCCAAGAGGATATTTTAATTTAGAGCTCACTGAGACTTAGTGCATTGGTTAGCTGAGGCTTCTGTAATTAAAGTACCACAGAATTACTGGCTTAAAAACAATAGAGATTTGCTTTCTCAGAGTTCTGGAGGCTGGAAATCTGAGATCCAAGTGTCTGACTGTCTGATTTCTTCTGAAGTTTCTCTCCTTGGCTGGTAGATAGCTGTCCTCTCCCTGTGTCTTCACATGGTACCCCTTTGTGTGTCTGAGTCCTAGTCCCTCTTCTTGGAAGGACACTGGCCATATTGGATTTTGTGAAAACCCCATTGCAGATAATGTCAGAGAGGTCTGATTTAAAATGTGCCTTGTGAACCCCCCAAGTTTGTCTCATCAGGACCTAGTTCTGCTGTTTTAGAGTTTGGAATGTATGTCCACCTGTCTTGAATACACATCTGACAGCTTAACTGACAACTGACACCTTTTACTCACCCCTCCCTGCCTCCCTGTCAGCAATGCAGAAGACATCAACTTGAACTCTCTGGCTGCCTGCACTGCTCGGTGTTTGGGACTTTTTCAATCACTTTCTTAAGGGGCTCGCTATGATTTCCTTCTAGAAAATTCAGGATCCCACATTTGGAGATTGTGCCTGAGTCCAGTAAAATACTCAAGTTGTGGAAGAAGGACAGGGACCTACCTTGAGGTTTGGGCTTGGTCAGCTTGCCGCAGGGCTTGGAGATGGTGACTGTCTTCTGGCAGTCGGCATTGTGCAGGGCGCGCTTCAGACTGCCAGTTCTAGTCTTCAAGGCCGTATTCAGGTCACATTCTCCCCAGGCCTGGAACTGGTACTTGCACTCGGCTAAAGCAGGGTCAAATAAGACACAAACCCTTGAGAGATTCTGTTTTGGTGCCATGGTAATGACGGTAGACTTCTGTTTTTAGTTTTTCCGTATTGGGATAATTATAGATGAACAGATGTCGTTAGAAGTAATACAAAGAAATTCCATATAGTCTTCGCCCAGTTTGTTCCAACCTGGTATTTTGCATAACTCTAGCCTGGTAGCACCACCACAAAACCTGCCACAGAATAAGTTCTGTGTGTCTATTTAAATTTGTGTGTCATGTCAAGGCACGTCACTACCAATGCCATGAGCAGCTCCTGATGCAGAGGTCCTGTGCATCGTCATCTATAGACACACGCTTCTAACTTCTAAATGCCTGGCCACCAATCTTTTCTCCAACTCTTTAATTCTGTCATCTTAAGAATGTTACGTAAGTGAAATTAAACAGTCTCTGACCTTTTCAAATCGTCTTGTTTTCACTTAGCATAATTTCTTGGAAATCCACCAAAGTTCTATGTGTCAATAGACTGCATTTATTATTGCTGACTAGCCTTCC